TGTGTGTGTGTGTGTGTGTGTGTGTGTGTGTGTGTGTGTGTAGGGTGTGCGTGTGTCGGTGTACAGAACATTGTCAGCTGGCCTGGGCGCAGATCCCCCTCCTGCTCAGTGATTTGAACCATTGTATACTAAACTAACTGGGAATTTGGGAAATGAAATTAACAGTTTACTTCATCCTGATACCTTTGCTTGCTACTGGAATATGTTTCCCAGATTCCAGCTCTGTAGCATCTCTCTAGCTAGCTGGTTTAGCTAGTTGCTAGCTACTGTGAACTTATGCTAATGTCATAACCTCCAGTAGTCCACATTAACACCCATTTCTCATTATAGCATATATTATCCCTTGTCATTAGACTTATAAAGTCCCTAAATGCATATTTCCTCCATTTGAAGACTGTCCCAGATTACCCAAAGCATGCTGTCCCACATTCTCAATCATATTTGATAATGTGGGACAACAACAAAATGTTTGAAAGAAAAAAAACTAAAACACATTTTCAACCCTTTAATACATATTTTGTTGCTTGAATATATCACAAACGTAATTTGACAACAATTAGGAACATTGTAGTATTTATGACAGATTTATGTCCTTAACATTAATCTAGTCAGAATCCTATGTCACTGACCTTGTCATGCAATTCCCAGGGGAGCTTCTTGATTGACAAGTGCCCCGCCCCTTTCTGTGGAATCATCCCAATGAAGTCATGTTATTTCAGTCACATGACATCTATGCTAAAATTATAGTAAAAGTCCTGTTGACTAAATTTAGTTAGAACAGGAAATAAACACACTGGAGTTTAGGTGTCCCAGATTACCCAATGTCCCAGATTACCCAAATCACCCTACATATATTTCATATGGTAGCACACAAAAAGCTCCAAAATGACTAAAAATGATTAATAAAATAAATATACAATATTAACGCTATTTTTTTGTCTGCCAATCACGTCGTGCCTCTCCTCTTTTTAAACTGCAGCGGATCCCGCTCTTTTTTCACTCTGGCTGGTCTGGTTTGAGGGAAATCATGCTGTCGGACTCAGATCTATCCGTAAATTACAGCAGATACTAGTGCTGTATTCAAAATATCGATACGACGATGTATCGTCACAGAGATTTGACGATACGAGTATCGATACAGCTGGCCCTGTATCGATACTGTGGCACGTGTGCAGCAGTGGACCACGCTTAATTTTACAACGTTTAAAATGGAGTAGAAAAGTGCCAGGTTTCTAAAAAAGAATAGAGCATCTGTTAATAATCTGGCCGCAGAGGAACACAATGGGGTTGCCTGATATAAAAAGAAGTAATCCCCAAAACAGAGCTTTACACTTGCGCAATATGGAAATATCTGCTAAACGTGCTACTTATCTTTATCAACCTGTCAACCATGTGCACACGCGCTCTCTCTTCACTGAGGATAAACGCAGTTAACGCACTTGCTTTCTGAAAACAGCGGTTAGCTTGCAGTTTAGCTATCTCCACTTCAAGTCTATTCTCAGAAAAGTGTGATTCATCAACTGTTCATTTACAACACACAGAGTGAGAGAAAGAGAGAAGGGCTGTGTGTGTATGAATTAACACCGTTTTGCCGCGTTCCTCTATTAACAGTAAAGCTGTGGCTTTAATTCCTTTAGAAACAATGATGCTACCAACTCCTTGTTGAGAAAGATAATGTAGCTCTAGAGTGATCAAGCTGATAAAATTGCGGGGCAGCGCTAAAAAGTTTGTTCCTGAATGTCTGACTGCGGCCGCAGCGTAATCTGTGTGTGTGACTGAATTTAACACCAAACTGCTTCTGTTTCACACAAATGCTGG